ACACACACACACACACACACACACACACACACACACACACACACACACACACACACACACACAGTGTAATAGATTTTGCTGGTTCAAAGGAAGGGCATTTAAAGCAGTATTGGATTGGAACCATGTGACACAATCATGAAAGCCCAGACTCATTAAATATTCCTGAAGATTGACCAAGGGACCTAAAGCCAAACATCTGATGCAGAAACACAGTGTTGTATAAAATACCACATTCTTCAGTAAAAGTACAATAGCTTACCATAAAATTACTCTGGTAAAAATTAAAGTCTCCTCTAAGAATATTACTTGAGCAAAAGTCTTAAAGTATCTGATATTTTTTGCACTTAAGTATCAAAAGTAATTTTTTGACATAAAATGTACTTAAGTACTAAACGTATMAAGAAAAAATGAGCGGTTACATTTTCCATAATGACATTTACTGGGAAGAGACCTCTCCAAAAACACATTTTTCTAAAGGCCAAAATGATGTATTAAAATATTAAAATTATAAAATTTAGGATGCATCTGTCTAGATATACAATATATATATATATAGCCTATGTGATTATTTGTCATATGACATGATTTGTGCCACGTGCAGTGCAGTTTATCTGTGTAGTATTTTTGTTTCAACAATAACAAGCTGGCATGAAAACAAGCAAAAATGAAATAAAATAACTTTCTACTTCCTACATTCTATAAAAAATGTAGAGTAGAAGTAAAAAATCAGCTGAAAAATAAATACTGAAGTAGATAATTAAAATTCTTCTTAAGAACAGTAACAAAGTATTTGTACTTAGTTACTTTACACCTCTGCAAACACACTCAGACACACAGACACACAAACACACGCTGCCCCTCACCCTGCTGAGTTGCTCCAGCAGCCTGTGGTTCTGCTCAGAGAGCTCACTGATGGCCTTGGTCTTGTCCCTGTCAGCCTCTCTCAGCTGGACCTGCTGGCGCTCCAGCTCTCCCTGCAGCTGCTGGAGATCTGTCTCCAGCTCGGCCACCCGGCCCTCCCACTCCCCCTCTCGMCTCTCCATGCGTCGTCGTAACTCGTGCTTCTCCTGCTCCAGGTGCTGGYTGTGGATGAGAAGAGAGTGGGTGGTCAAAGGTAAAGATCTTTATTTATTTTAATCATATTTAAATTTAATGAAGCTGGGAGATACATTAAAGAATTTTCACAGAAAACTGCTTTTTGGAAGAAAAGTGATTGCTAAAAATTGTAGTAAATTTTGTATGACCTGTTATTTGAAAATTTTATAAACACATATTTTGTTTAAACTGAGAAACTATACCATTTGAAGTTGTTTTTTTTTTTGTCATTTTAAGTTTTGTTATACCAAAACATGTTTAAACAGTTGGGATACAGTTGTAAAAGTGTGAAAGCTTGTAAAAGCTAACGTTAAAAATAGGAAACAAATGAAAGAGCATTTTAATCAGGTTAATGGGCAGCAGGTCAATATGGGGTTCACTAGTCTGCAAAAACTGCCTAAAATAGTGAAACAAATTCRATTGTTRCTCAATGCAAGAATGACTGAARWTCCCATTTCATTGTGCTCATGRACGATGACAATAAAGGTCTCTCTATAACCTATTCATAATGTTCTTAAAGGATTTCAAGAATCTGGAGAAATCTTTGAGCTTAAAGAACAAAAGGATGAAAGTCAGTACTGGCTGTGATGTTTGGACTCATGTGATGCTGCATTAAAAACAGGTCTGATTCTCTTCTGGACATCATGAACTCAGAAACACTTTCACAAGTCATTGTTTGTAAACAGTGCTCKTCAAGCCACCCAKAAATGCWGGTTAAAGCTCTATCATGCAAAGAAGAAAACATATGTGACACTATTTAATGATGTTGTCTTCTCAGCTTTTTTAAGATGGACTGAAGRGATGTGGGAAACTGTTCTGTGGTCAGATAAATCCAAATTTGATTCTCTTTGGAAATCATGGAGGTCACATTCCCCACACTAAAGAGGGGAGGAACTATTGCCTGTTATCAWCACACAGTTCAAAAGCCTACCTCTCTGATGGTATGGGGGTACATTGACAACTTATARACCTGGAAGGCATTATCAAAGCAGAAAAGTGTAATAAGATTTTAGAACATGCACTCCTGTACAGATCATGTCTTTTTTTCAGGGAAGGTCTTGCATATTTCAGCAAGATATTGTCGTTTATACAACAYCATGGCATCACAGTAGAGTTGCATTCCTGAAGTCTGTCTTCAATCAATCTCCATCTCCATCTTCTTCCACTTAACCGTAGTTGGGTTGCAGAGGCAACAGGTCCAGGAGAGAAACCAAGGCATCCCTCTCCCCAGCGACACTTTCCAGCTCATCCTGGGGGACCCCAAGGTGTGCAGGCCAGAGAGGATACATAATCCCTCCAGCGAGTCCTGGGTCTTCCCCGGGGCCTCCTATCAATGGGACGTGCTCGGAAAACATCCAGGAGGCACCCTAACCAGATGCCCGAACCACATCAACTGACTCCTTTTGATGTGGAGGAGCAGCGGCTCTACTCTGAGCTGCCACCGAATTTCAGAGCTCCTCACCCTATCTCTAAGGCTGTCTTCAACCAAGACCTTTAAAAAATAGAATCCTTTGGTGCATCATGAAACAAACAAACAAACAAACAAACAAACAAACAAACAAACAAACAAACAAACAAACAAACAAACAAACAGCAAAAAAGACCCAGACAGCTACAATCCCATCAGACAAGTATGGGACAATATTCTACCCCAAAACTCTGGACACTCTCCTCAGTCTGTAAGCCTGATGTTTACATGTGTTGTTAAAAAAGAGGGGATGCTTCACTGTGAAACACTGACCTGGAACAACTTTAGAGATGTGCAGTTTCTATCAAATTCAAAATACTTTAATGTCTTTCTAAAAATGTTCCTAARCAAAGTTGGATTTATGGAAAATAATTCTGCTTTATGGCAGTGACATATATTGTATTGATATTGTGATGCTTATGTTAAGTATGATGGCAAAGAATAAAAGCACCAGTTGAATCTGCTTCAAAGACATTACAGTGACAGGGTTGCTGCTAACAGTTCAGATCATAGACGGCTTCTCAGAAGCATTGCATCAGTAGAGTCRGCAGCATGGATTGTTGTGATGATTAGGCCCAAGGCCAAACCAAATGAAATCTGAATTATTTTCTTCTTTAGATAAAGGCCTGCATGAAAGGACAACAGGCAGACTGTTGCTGGAATAAGATATCAAAGGAAATATTAGGAGCATCAGTGACAAGGAGCAGCTTTATTTCTCTGAGCCCCAACATAAGGATGAATATGGATCAYAGAGCTGAACAGATGCTGGGCACATCCGACCTGCTGGGACATAAACAGGATTAGTCCCTGTGGTTCTCTGAGCCAGAGGGTTAGTTTGTCTGAAGCTTTAAAAAAAAACAACATGAAAGAAATAATAAAACTTAACTAACACTGAAAACCAAACTCCCAATATAATCACAGTCACGTTTTATGAAAGTTTTTACATCAGATTAAAATTATTTTTTAATCTCTATAACCCAAATAAGAACGCACTTGATAGATATTTTCAAGATAAAAAGCAGAACAAACAAATCCTTGTTTACCTCTAACTTCTCGCTGAGATCTTTGTGCATTTTCTCATATTGCTTGGTCAAGTCTTGGTTTCTCTCCAGCAACGCTTTGCCGAGTTTAGCAGCTAAAACCAAGTCTTTCTCCTTTTGGCGGAAGAGCAGCAGCAGGTCTGCGTTCCGCCCCAGCGCGGGCGCCTCCGGGTCGGGCAGCTCRTCCTCGCCTCCCCGCTCCCCGGCGATCATGGCCAGTTCCTCCTCCAAGGCCGTGCCCAGGCCTCCGGAGCCGGCGTGCCGCAGCGGGTGACCCTGACAGCCGCCGGGCTGCTGAGGGCCCGGCCCGCCTCGKGGCTCCATGCAGTCGCTGTCCAGTTCCAGCGGTGCTGAAACCACCGAGGACGTCTGCAGGTCCAGGCAGAACGCGGACATCTCTCCGCCCGGAGGAGGAAGAGGAGGAGAGGACGGATGAGAGGCGGCTGACTTCACTCCGGATGAGCCCAGCCTGCTCGGACTGGGCCGGGCTGACAGGACCAGCATTTAACCAAAACTTCATTCATTTTTGCCCTCTCAGTTCGGCGCTGAATCCAATTAAGCCTGAGCGTCTTCCTCACGTCCCCCTCGTCTTGACTCAGAGGAAACACCTCCTCCTCTGCAGATCAGTCACTGGCTGTTTATTCTGGGATAATCACAACACCTTGTTCTTGTTTGTTGTTTGTTGTTCTACCCCGGTATGAACCGCCTGGAGGAGCTCTTCGCAGCCGTAGGTCGGTCCGGTTCTGTCTCGTCTCGGGGTCCAGGATCCCCCATAATGATGAACCTGTTGGACCGGGGCCACCTGACAGCCAAACAAGATATAAGCGCGTCCCCGGTGCCGTCTTCAGTGCGCGTTCACGACGCGGCAGTGACGGCAGCCGAAACGTGTTACAAACAGCCAGCCCATTGGCTGAAAATGATAGCGCCATATTTTGGTGCCACACACACACACACACACACACACACACACACACACACACACACACACACACACACACACA